GGGTTGATGGGAACTGGTTTAACCATGATGTGGAAAAAAGACAAAGACAAGACGTTATATGATACGCATGGGACTATAATACTAGAAAATGTACACTGCAGCAGGGCTGTCAACTTTGTGAAACTACTTTAAGGGAGATTTTTTTTGGGAAAAAATATTAAGTGCCAAATCCAGCCAGCCGCTGATTAAGCGGAAAATTTCACAAGAAGGCACTCAATATGTCAGCATACATCAAGAAGGTTGAGTGGGATGTAATTAAGTAAGGGTTACTTGGCCATTTAGGTTTTCTCGCTTGGGAGCCCCATTAAAGCCCGTCTAAAGTGTTGGGAGCCCCGAATTCGCCAAAAATTTGATGGATGCCAAAATGTCACTTAAATTGTATCATAATGAAAGAGGATGTCATTTAAAGCCCATCTGTACTAGTTTAGCCAAGAGGGATTAGACCACCCAGCATGGTCACTGACAGGTGGCTATCTCATCAACTCAGCTCTCAATTAACTAAGAAAAAGAGGATCATGGGGGACCAATGGTCACCGCTTAGGCATTGTTTTCTATATAGAGATGGCAAGTAGCTACAAGTAGTACAGTGGGGCTTTAAGACACACTTCTTCAAAGATTCCCCCCTGCCAAAGGTGTTTGAAGACAAACATTGTTAAAATATTGGGTTTTCTGTTGTACGCAGAAAACATTAATTTTGTATTCTTTCATCAATATCCTCTTCCACATTATGATACAATTTAAGTGAAATTTTGCCATCAAATTTTGGGGGGCTCCAAACACATTAAGAGGGACTTTCATGAACAAATAACCATACATATCTTTAAAAAAAAAGAAGCTTGCTAAATTTGCATAACAACGTTCAAAAGAGGATAACTTTCCTTAAAGATACAATTGAAAGAGGTCCCCAATCCACATCAACAGTTGCATAAGACATTACACTTGAAATAAGATAACAAACAAAAACTTTTACTCAGGACAGTCATTTTCATATTTCAATTTTTTAATCAATAAATTGAAAGTAGTCGAGTGTCTGTGCAATCGAGCCACCTTGCGCAAGTTCCTAGCAAAAAATATTTCAACTAATATGAATAAAATACATAATCTAAGGCTCACAAAATATTACATTGTTGGCCTCTTAATTTCATAGGATAAAATTTGTATGTACATTTTATACAGCAAACAGGATAGAACACAGGAGTTATATAAAGCATTGTCCGAGAGAGATAGAGAAAGAGAGAGAGAAAGAGAGAGAGAGAGAGAGAGAATGATACATCAGTATGAGATTACATGCATATTTTTACACAGCTTTACAAATAGTAAATTCTCATGACAAAGTAGTTTACATAACAAGTTTAATGCCAATTTTGCATTGCATGTTTAATGCCACAGACATTCCAATTCTGCTGTTGTAAGACTAGAGCCAATATAATTATAATTCCTGATTAAGGAAATTGAACCGTAGGCGATTGTAAGAAAGCAAATTAGAATATGATAGACCAGTTTAATAATGAACTTAAATTCATGTACAGTTCTGTCTAGAAACAGTACTAGAAAATTGTCTGCTTAATGGGACAGTATCTCTATTAATGGATCCAACTTCTATACATCAGTCGTTGCATCGTCAGGCATGCTATAAGTCATACACAAGTATTTAGGTTTTTTCTAAGAAGTATGCATAAATTTGAATTCCTTTGTAAACTGGTCTATCATGTACATTATTACAAGGACCTTAAATTACCTCACTCTCTCCACAATGTACACAATTTTTTTTTTATAGGTAATCTTTAGTTTTAGCAATGCAACTATATATCAAGAGAACCATCCTATTAAAGATGTTTTGTCTCTTTTGCAGACCTAAAACCCTGAAGTATCATTAATCCTGTGCTATATCGAAGAGGTCTAGTCTGTGATAAGGAACTTCTGATCACATGAAAAAAAATTGCAATGGGCTTTCAATGAATAAATTTGCATGTTTAATTGCAGATCTTTATTTTCTAGACTCAAAAAATATTTGTACATAATTGAAAATTAATTTGACTGTTTATTCTGACGATTTTCAGGGCAATTTCTTCCATGACATTATAATCTTATACCTCATTCTTTCGCAAAATTGGCAACATCAAGTATTTCTACATACCACAAAAAAATCATGTGTATACATGAAAACTTAATCTCAATTTTAAAAAAAATGATATATGGTCAAGCAGTGCAATCAATCTATGATTAGCAATACAACAATATTGCAAAATACATTAATTTCCTTATTGATAAATACTTGTACAAAATAAAAAGGAAAGCAAAACAAAGGAAAAAGCATTCACTCTTACACATTACAAGATGCAAGAGTAATAATACCAACAAGTAATTATCTTAAAACTTTCCTTTGTTTTTATGTCAAGGGATGTATTTTTTACCACTTCTGTGGTTTATTGTTGAATACTTGTTGTCCAAATAGTTGCAATATTTTACACTCTTCAACATGTGTATTCAACAAAATTTTTCAAGGAGGAAGGATTACATGGGAATACATGGTTCGGATTTTGGCAAATAAAAACAAATAAAGAAAGAGATCCCCCATTGAGCTTTTTGTAACATACAATTACATGTAAGATTCCAGCAATTCCAATAATAATTAATAAATTTCATCTAGTATACATCTTAAAATTCACTTTACAAAATTTATTTTATGAGAACTGTAATAAATATTTAAATCATCATCGACTTGATTCAAGGAATGTGTCTAAACTTAATGATTATACAAACTATTGTCACAAAAATTTTGTTTGTAAGAACAATTAACATATTCTTATTTCACAAACTTAGAAAACAATAATGATATTTAGGTGAGAAATACTGAAGCAAAAAATGGCTGATAAACTGGGACAAAAGTGTAGCATCGTTACATAAAATAAATTATAAAGTATATGTATAACCAACATGTATAAACCCTTACTTGACCGTGTATGAAAGTACAAGAATGCAGGTACGAGCACTGTATTTTGACTAACACGGAGTGACGGTACGTCAAGCCGTGTTCCCACAAAGCACATACCCTGTATAGTATGATAACGATTCAGTATTTAGCAAAACAGAGCATTTATACTACTGTAGCCAGAAGCAGGGGCTGTTTAGGTAATTATATATAACACAAACGTGAACGCACCTATTTTCAAAGAAATCGACTGAAGGGCTGTTTAAATACCCTATTGTATGCCCCACAGAAATCATGTTCAGATTTTGTACTGCATAATTCTCATGTCTGCACATTTCATTTCTATGGGTGAAACACAAGGCTACTGAAATCGCCTTAGGTTTATTTTGTAGAAAGCAGTTGCTATATCGTGTTACATGCGTGAATCAATCACATTTTTAAAGTCAGTTTACGATGAATTCTGCAAGACACATTTAGAGCGAACACCACAAGTGCTGAACAAAAGTGAATGAGAAGTCATCATCATCATCATATACATTTTGGGAAGCCCCCACTTCCCTATACTACACACAATACAAAGTTGGTTACAGCTGATTGTGTGATCGTACTTTATTCCAAGCGAGTCCTGTGATGTAAGGCACTTGAGAAATGCATATCTCTAATCAAACAAATCGGGCACACAAAGAAGTAGAATCATGAATTAGATTTTGTTTTTAGAAAAAACGTTATCTCCTTCCTCTATGACCTGTACTACCGTACTTTGTTGCAATAGTATCATGATGTTGCAATAAGTACTCTGCTGTTGCAACAACTTCTGATAGACCTATTCGTAATGTAACCAAATTTATGTACACCCTGTATATGCCTTTGTAAAGTGCCTTGTTACAAATTATTTCATTAACCTGTTACAAGAAATTATCCTTCAATAGTCAGAATGCGAATTGGATACATTCCGTGTTGTTAGGTAGGGCAAGCCATAGTGTTTGTCTTACCTAGCAACAACTTACTGGTATGTATGAAATTGGAATTCTGACTATCGAGATACATTTATTCTTAACGGATGCATGAAATCATTTGTATTGAGGTGCTTCACAAAGGCATATATGCATAAATTTGGTTACATTACGAAAATGGTCTATTGCTTGTTGCAATATCCATATCCTTTTAGTAAACCATGAACATGTAACATACCTTCTGGCAGAATGTGTAGAACGGACCACATCGCATATCTGTGCAGAACTAGAAGGGCACTCACTTTGCGTTAACGCCCTTCTGGCTCCAAACAGACGATAAAATAATAAGATGAAATTTTTCCAAGAGATCAAATCACCATTTTACAAACACACCATACTTCATTCAAAAGAACATGACATACGCAGTTATGTACTTTATACATACATATCAAAACTTGGTCATAGTTCATGAACACGATGCTGAAATGTCCCGTGTGACTACTAAGTGTTGACTATTATCTGCATCACAATTCATGCCTCATGTTTGATTAAAAATTCTACTTATAAAACAGGTTCCCTAGAATACATATCTGAATTTAAATAGCAATCTCAACTCATTCGAAAAATAAAGGAATTTTACTGAATGATATCACAACTGAATAGCTGATTTAACATCATTCATGAACAACCTTCAAGAGCTAACAAGTTGGAAAGTAAGTATTGAATAGAAATCAGTTAAGTTGATAATTAAAAAATCAGTACAGCGAGGTTGTGTGAGTGATATTGTTGCAGTATAGCCCGAAAAGTTGAGATCAGTTTCTACTGTAGACCATGTATTGATTAGCTGTTGCTAACAATGAATATTTAAATATAAAGGAAGAAAAACATCTATTTCCATACTACAAGCAAAACCCTGCTTTAGATTGTACACATGTTTCTTAATCCACAGAGACAATAAAAGTGAATGTTGCATACTGAGTGGATGGACAGAAAAAGGAAGCAAACTTATACTATACCATCATAGTCTATTCTCACATACAAGCTTGAAAGTGAAGTTCTATTTAACAGTTGAAGTTCAAAGTGATTTGATTACAATTCATTTTGTGCTAAAAAGGAATTTGTTTAACTTTGGTTTGTCTTGGAAATCATGCATATGGCAAATGGATTCATTAAGTATGTGCATCAATTTTGCCAGAACCCCCGCAGCTACTATTATATTTTTCCCCTTCAACTCTGCCTTTGACCTTTTAGTAACCTAGAGGCCTTTGAGAGTCTAGATTGACTTCAGTTGTATGTTCAATAGAAGCTGAAGTTCTCTTGTGAAACTAGGAAGCCAGTACAGACGTAACACCTGACTCAATAGTTACTCGTAATGGATGGAACTGGTGCCATGAGCAGTCACATCATTATGCATCAATAAGAATATCTCAACAATACTTGCATGGCATGAAGTCCCTGTCTCTTTAAGATGGTGCTACGATTAATGACAGCCAAGGACGAAACCCATGCCTGGATTCCACTTTACAAGTTACATAGTAGCTTCAAGTGACACCAGGGCCCCGTATTACAAAGAGTTGATATCAATCGCAACTTATTTGCGAATGATATCAATCGCAAGTATGTACATAAGAGATAGGAGACTTCAAACTTGCGATTAATTTGGATCAACCGTAACTCTTTGTAAGACGCTGCCATGGTGGCCAGACGGAAGACCTAGCCGAAGAATCTCTTAGTCATGGATGGAAAAGGTGATATACGTCGACAATCACATATGTCACGTCACGTCACGTATACGTCGTCATACGTGAAGGAGTACATCTGAACAATACTTGCATGGCATGAAGTCCCTGTCTAGGATGGTGCTCCGGTCGATGCTCGTTGCGGAGGATCCCATTTCCTGTAGGAGCTGGATGATCTGCTGTGCCGTGTGTTCACTGCGAGGGAGCTGTTCGGGTGAAGGCAGTGCTGCTGTCTGGTAATGGTCGTCTGCGAGCGATACGTCCTCAAAGCTCCCATCGCCATCTCCACTCTCTGTGGATGACGAGGGCCAGTCCATGTCTATCAAAAGACAATAAAAATGAACAATATATTAAAGATAAAAGAATATGACACATACTACACTTAAAAGAGAGAGAGAGAGAGAGAGAGAGAGAGAGAATAGGGGGAGAGGGAAGGGGAGAGGGGGAGAGGGAGGGAGAGGGGAGAGGGAGGGAGAGGGGAGAGAGAGAGAGAGATAGTGAGAAAAAGAGAGAAAGAGAGAGAGAGAGACAGGGAGTCAGAGTCAGAGAAAGGAAGCATAATCAAGAGGAAAAGATGGAAATTAAGAGAGAGGGAGGGAGAGAAGGATGAGAGCCATTCACTGTCTACCAAAAGACAATCAAAATGAACAAAACATTCAGACCAATTTATTTCACACATACTATACACTATCATGTATCTGTAAAGCCCATTGCACACTATACGATCTGACTACGATCCGACTTTGGACAAATTTCCAATAGTATTTGACGTGAACATGAAAACTTGTAAAAAGTAAAAACACAATGATTAAGGATCTGAATAGTCAAAGGATTACTAAAATCTAAATTTCAATTGTGTCAAGCTCCCTTGGGGAGGAAAAGCTCAATCGCCTCAGAATCCCAATGATGTCAGACCAGTCGTGCGATTGTCTACGATTTGAAACTGATTCCGCTTTTATTCTGAGTAGAATGCTTAATTGCACCGAAATTCCAAAAGTTAAAACTCATATATTATTTAGAATGTAAATCAGGAAGACAATTTTTGTTTATTCACACTTCTTCAAAAATCAGATCGCAGGAAAGATTGTATAGTGTGCGGTAGGCTTAAGGCTCTTTAAGAGCTATTAACATATTGTTTTCTTCTTAAGTAACCTAAAGAATGTTCAATTCTTATACACCTTTTTCATATATATGTGAATGTTTTATAAGTTCAATACAATCCAATACCCTGCCCTGTGTCTGTGAAATATTCTCTGAGAAAATTTTTGCCAAATATTTTTTCATGTTTTTCTTCTATCCTTTTCGTATTTTCCATTTATTTTTGTTAAGTAAAATTTGTCTTGTTACAACATTCTTAAAAATACTGATTCTATCCCTCAGTAGATAGATGAATTTATATTTGACATTGATTAAAAAAGAATCCCTGAGATAAAGTCCCAATTTCATATAGAACTATAAAACAGTAATCTCTCTCTGTTCTTTCTACCTTATACTAGTGACCTTTGACCTTTCTACCTTATACTAATGGCCTCTGGAATCATGTGCAGTAGGATTGCAAAAACAGAGGAAAACTATAGATGATTGAATTAGTGACTAGCTTTGACATTTCAATAAATTATTAGAGTAAGAAGACAAACTAAAATCTAATTTCATCTGACTCTTGATCATTATCCAACTCGATAAGAAGGAAATTTATCAATCACAATAAAATCTCAACAAATGATATTTGAAGTACATGCAAATAACATACAAGTACAAGGGCTTTAAATAATAGTTTGACAATGCAAAAACACTTGATGCACTGCGTAACCTTTTCCTAAAGAGTTCTAATACCTTGAACAAACATGTAGAGGATTTCTTTTGATCTTCTATTGATTTTGAAGATGTGATCTTTGAACCCCTGATAGCCTGGGAGTGGGATGTTATCAGAAGGTTATGAGATACGGGAGGACAAGGCAGGGCATATCGTATCAGGTGATATTGGGAGATTACCAAAAGCTTATTTTAACAGCTTTTTCTCATGAAGAGATATTGATTGATTAGTATTTAAAGGTAGTCTGAGTTCGGTTATTGACATAATACAATTTCTTGTCAAATCGAACAGATGTACAATAAATGTGCAAGACTATGAATAAATTTGTTGATTAATTTGGGTATAAAAAGTATAAAAGCTGTATAATTAGCAAAGAAAGATAATAATAATGTGTTCATATAGCGCATTTTCCATATACACGTTCAAATGGTTTTACAATTATATTAAAGGGACTGGGTACCTTTGCCTCAGATTCTAAAACAAAATACTGTTGCAATCATAATTAGAAACCTTTAGGTCAGTCAGGAATCCCATGACGTTTGCAAGCCGATCGCCTGTCAGATTATCAAGATATTTATGATTGGAATTCGAAATTTCAAAAACCGTTTTCCCAACATTGTTTATAACACTACAGTCTATTGGGGAAAATGAGTATGGTAAAACCGGTCACTCAAAGATTTTTTACTTTTTTGAGGCACTTCATGATCATTTCGAAGATCACGTGATCCATGAAAAGGTTTTTGGTCTAGAAGAGCCTCGATTATCAATGATTGATGTGGAGACCATGGCCTACAAGCTAAAAGTCAAAGCCATCGTAATAACAAAAACACAAAAACAAAGACAAATAAAAATAAACAAAAAAACAAATTTCAATTGGCGATCTCTAATCGACTCGGTAAATATTGATGGCAAGACCATGGCCTACATCGTTATAACAAAAACACAAAACCAAAGACAAACAAATACCACCAACTACAGATTTCAATTAGCAATCTAATCAACTTCTTTACTTGGTAATGATTGGTGTCGAGACCATGGCCAACATGCTAAAATCATAGCCATCGCAATAACAAACACAAAAACAAATATTTAAAAACCGCCGGATTTAGATTGGCAATCTTATCAACTTGGTAATGATCGGTGTCGCGACCATGGCCTACAAGCTAAAATCAGAGCCATCACAATAACAAAACAAAAATCCAACCATTTCTTTCTTACATATTACTATGCCTTCAAATGACCCAATGAAAAAAGAATTTTCTGTTGTATGACAGATGATTCAATAAATTCAAGGTGGCTGTCCAACATACAGCAACCAAATTCTAATATTTTACTGTCAATATTTGACTATTTTGTTAACTGCAACCAAAATACAATAATTATGTATAAAGTAGTACTTCTATTATATTTACTTTATGTTGATGTTACTGTTTTTATTATGGAATTATGGAATTGAATAAATGCTGAATTGTTGAATTATTATTCAATTCAATTCATTTCAATTGACCATCTATTCAACTTGGTAATAATAAACCCTTAAAATGTAAAGAAATATCCTGAAAAAGCTTACCATTCTGATTGGAATGCTCCATCTTTTCGTCTGCTTCTTCGGCGTGTTCAATCTTGAAAGCATTCCTTGGATCTTGAGGTGGACTGAGAGCCTTCTTGATCTCGCTCTGATGGGCGTAGGGATGCAGGTGCTGCTTCTCCTGTAGTAGCTGGACCACGAGGTTCTGGAGCTGGTTCAGCTTGGCCTGTAGATGGAGTGACAGTGAGAGAGGGGGAGAGGGGAGGGACAGAGAGAGAGAGAGAGAGAGAGAGGGGGGGGGGTGGATGAAAGAGGGATGATATAGATAGATACAGAGAGAGAGAGAGTGATAGAGAAAGGGAGAGAGAGAGAGAGAGAGAGTGATAGAGAAAGGGAGAGAGAGAGGGGGAGTGATAGAGAGAGAGAGAGAGAGAGAGAGGGATGAAGTGATAGAGAGGGGTAGAGGGGGAGATGGAGGAAGAGAGAAAAGGAAGGTGGATGACAGAGGGAGAATGAGAGAAAGAAAGAGAGAGGGATGATGGAGAGAGAGAGAGAGAGAGAGAGAGAGAGGGAGGAAGTGATAGAGAGGGAGAGAGGGGGAGATGGAGGAAGAGAGAAAAGGAAGGTGGATGACAGAGGGAGAATGAGAGAAAGAAAGAGAGAGGGATGATGGAGAGAGAGAGAGAGAGAGAGAGAGAGGGAGGAGGGAGCAAGAGAGAAAGAGGGAGGAGGAAGACAGAGGGAGAAGAGGAAGAGAAAGAGGAAAGAAAGGAAGGAAGGAGGGAGGGAGAGTGAAAGAGAGAGAGAGAGAGGGAGAGGAAGGGGGAGGAGGATGAAGAAGCAAGAGGAAACAGATAGACAAAGAGTCAGAGTCAGAGAAAGAAAGCAGGATCAAGAGAAAAAGAAAGAAAGAGATATGGAGGGAAAAATGGATAGTTGATAAAATACATTGTCACTATGAACTAACATAGGATTACTACATGTACATAACATATGAGACTTTGGAACTGGACATCATATGGAATAGCCATATTTTTCACAACTTTAATCTTTATTTTATTAAAAAGAAACATTATTGCTAGAGCACACGTCATGTTTCTCTGTTTTGCATCAAAATGAGATTTCTACATAATATTGTAGATTGGTCGATCCTGAATATATTGTCACAAGTATGAACTAGAAGGTGTTCGGTTTTAGTTGTAATATTTTCACGCTTGTTATCATTATTCCTGACACAAACTACATGTACATGTATATAGGAACAAGTAGGAAATACCAGAATATATGCAAAAGAGGAAGAAGGACCAACTCTGGTCTTTCCATAAGCTGGTTATCTGAGGTATTCTTAAACATCAATATCTTGTATAGATAACAAGTTCAACAGTGGCTCAAAGGTCACCTTGATCTCGGCTCAGCTTTATCAGATCAGGGCCCAGTTTCACAAACCTTGTTATCAATAACAAATGCTATATTTCTAGGGCAAATTTGCTCTCAGCCAATCAAATGCCATGATTTCAGTAGCTTATAACAGTTATTAAAAAATTGTTATTGATAACAAGTTTTATGAAACAGGGCCCAGAAAAAAACAATGTAATTGTAAATATCAAAGTATATATCTATAGCGGAATCATCAATAACTCATCAAGTTTTCAAGTTATTTACACAAGTTTGAAAAAGATTATTAGAGTTAGAAATATCTTGAGTTCATTCTTATCAAAAATCTAATCTAAATTCAACCTATCTGTCAGGGAAAAGCGATCTTGGAGCCATTTATCCAAGTTTGAAAAAAATATTACACTTTCAGTATCAAAAAAGGGGGGAAAAAATCTTGAGTTAAACTAGATTATAAACCATATTTATGTGAATCTTCAAGACCTTTTTTGTGTTGCCTTCAGGAACAGATATATATGTATATTTTACATATATATCACTGTTTTCAAGGTGTGAACTTTGGGTTGAAAGAAAAATGCCATGTGATTAGCTATCAGGTGGTTATGAGGAATCTAGATTACATCCATCAAAGGTGAATTAAGGTTCTTGACAGTAGGAATCAAGTAAATCCATTATGTTGTTGTCGAAACATAATCATTTATCATTTGGTTAATTATATAGGTAAATATTCACATGATAAAGCATGTACTGTAGCCAAACAATGAAATGACCTCTAAATGACATAGATTTGTGATTTCCTTTGTCCTTGCTTGTGACGACATTGTAATATCCTTGGACAACAACACACAACTGAAAAGCAATAGCTCACTCAAAATGATTAATTCACTTTACTGAATCATTAATTAGATGTACATGTAAATGTGCTGTACTGTCCTGTTTGGCGCTAAATTTATGATCGTCAAATGTAATTGATAAAGCGTGTTTCCATGGTATATTTTTATTTCACTTGTACCGACACCTCCTTATGGCCATTATTCAATCCAATTAACCACATTTTTTAAAGATTCTAAAATAAATACTTTGATTTTACAATCTAAAGGAATCCTACATCATCATCAGCATGGTCATTATTTGTCGTCATCATCATCATCATCATCATCATCATTGTCAATTATCATCATCATCTGACATCATCATCATCATCATCATCATCATCATCATCATCACATCACCATCATCATCATCATCATCATCATCATCATCGTGATAAAGATAAATCCATTTTGTTCATACCTCCATATCTTCTTTCTCTCTTGCTAATGTAGTGACAAACCGTTCTCTATCGTCCTGTCTCCTCTTCATAATGTCCCTCTGATTGTGATATAAGGTGATGTATTCTCCTACAAGAAATGTAACAAATATTGTCATCATAAAAACCTAATTATATTGAGAGAATAAGACAATCATAACCTTTACTATAAGTATAATACAATATTTTTCTGCACTAAAATCAAGATGTCATATCATGGATTGAACTAGAGTACAACATTTACATCATGCAGCATACATATTTATGATAATTGGAGAAATTGGCATTCACATGTTAACGTTCATGAAAATCTGATTCAATACTCTTCACACTGGTTTGCTGATGTTACTCAATTAAAAATCAATTTGTGACCATTAAACTCAGTAAATGTCAATTGATTCTGCTGGGAAATTTAAAAATGAACTGATATAAGTTTAACCAAAAAAAAAAAAAAACCTCTTTGAAAAGGTTTGACAAGTTAATTCCTTATGGAAAGTGGGATACTGTTCCACGTTTTCAAGGAAGCTACTAAAACGCTTTTCGGTAGATGAGAGTCTGGATTTGGGAATACTTTAGTTTATATTTGTCCGTTTGTTGAGCAAAGGTTGAGTGACGCATCTAGCACTCATCGGAGTAAACAGCAAGAATGAAGAGAAATTAACTCACTGGATTTATATAGTGCTCAATAAAAAATACCGTCTCTAAGCACTTTACAGGTATTATCCCGGTCATCAGATCCATTCACGCACAATGCGCACAATCTTCTCTCCCTGGGGAGTATTCCTACCATATGGTCACCATGAGGGCATATGGCAATTACTAACTCGAAGGCTTTTGTCATCTTACCAGCCCCCCATTTCTCTCCTGGGTATGGAGTGGCAAATGCAGATTAATGAAATGACTCACCTATCGTCTCTGTTTCTCCAGCCAGCTGGAGATTGACGTGCTCCAGCTCCTGGATCCTATCGTCGAGCTCCGCCCTTACCCTCATCTCATAGACGAACTTCTCCTGGAGCTTCTCCATGGCCAGCTCCAGGGTCTCGTAAGCCTCCTGCGTGACGGGACTCTGCGCTCTGCTGGATCCACCTTAACGATTCAATGAGTATTTTATAACTTATTACCATTGGCGTATGTTGCGCTTTATAAATATTGTTATCATTATTATTATTATTATTTAAGAAAGTTTTGAGTTATTTGTAAGTTTACTTCACACAATTCTGTTTCTATAAATACTAGTTTCTTTTCTCAATACTGTCTGTCCTGGATGTTTAATTTCTTACTATATTTTGCTTGGGAATTTATGTTTTGCCATTTTTCTTTGTCCTTTTACTGTATCATTTCTGGTCCCCATGGAAGACCAGCGGTATCATAACGATACCGCTGAATATGGGCTATCCAGCCGTTTATTTCATCTTGTAAATTCATTGTTCTATTTGTTATTATTTTACTGAATGCATGATGTCTTTTTATACGGAAATAAAACAAACAAACAAAATGAGGTCAAAGGTCACATGAATTATAATGCATCATTCATCATCATTCATTTTAATCAGAAAACATGATGATAAAAAATTTGCCAGGAAACCGCCTACTAATTCATATATTTGGTAAATTTGTTTCTCTCATGGTCTGTGAGAAATATAGGGTAGTCCCATATACATCTTTCAGTGTATAGTGCTTGTAACTTTACGAAGAATGGGCCAAATTTCTTATCATTTTGATGATTCCAGAACCTTGCAGATGCTAGATGCTAGATGATCAACCTTTTCTGATCGATTCCACAACGTTTCTTTCACAATGCAATCGCATGACCATAACTGGTCTTTACCTTTAAAGTTATGAATTCCCATAGCAAAATATATCATCAAATTACACAATTTGGCTTCATTCACAACCCTAAATGCACTTTTTCAAGAGATTCCACAGATTTCAAGAGATTCAAGATATTCTATTTCACCATTAGCCATAAAAACAAGGATACAACATACAGTATGGGATATGGAAAAGACCGAACGAGAAGCAAATGCTTGAGAGAAATGGCCACGATAGTTTGATACATATTTTGATTATTGTCATTTTCATATCTAATATCTAAGAATGATTGAACAGGACATGGGTGCGGATATTAACGCACTGGTTTACTACCAGTCCTCATTGGTAGCTTGGGCATGATATCAGTTTCCCTCTATGGCTCACCTGAGTTAAATCTGAGTTGATCTGTTTCTTTAAGTAGATGTTTGTATTCTTCCTGCTGGTCATCCAAAGCTTGCCTGAGATGGTCTCTCTCCATTTCCAGTTGTCTGATAGCAGCCGACAGGGAGTCAACCTGAAACAAACAATATTGTGATACATCCATGTTAATCTTGAAGGCAGTAAGTCACTTTCGCAGACTTGTGCATACTCTATGAAACTTGGCGAGCGTTTAAATTACATCCTTCAGGAATCGTGTGTAAAATGTTACAATAACAGGTTCAGGAACTTCCTTGTAAGAAAGGAAAATCTAGCCACGTTTTCATATTGCTGCATAGGAAGCTACTCTCAAATCAACAGATATAATGGTCAAATAATTTTTTTATGAAGTCCAATAAGTACGATTAGGATAAGGGTTGCTATTGGTTTTTTTGTTAGGCTTAGGGTTGGGGTTAGGTAAAGTATTTGATCAAGGGCTACAGGAAAGAATTCAGCAACTGTTGGAAATTGAAGTACAGCATTGTTGCAAGAGCATATGTCATTCAATCATTTGGACAATGAGTAGCTTTTTCTTCTTCCTGCTACTGAAACAGGTACATCAATTTTAAGTTTATTTCCATAGCAGATATCAGAATATCTACATTAAAAACTAGATGGACCTTCGACTGTGCGCAGTCGAAAGTGATGCCTCCGTCATAGAGCAATTTTACAAACCAAAACGGAAGAAAATTTTTCAAATTCAAGTTTGGTTGTAATCCATTAACATGTTCTCAGAATATCGTGATTACAAGCTATTTCTCATATACATGTATGACCCTTTGATCTTTGACCTCATGACCCCAAATGCAAGATACATACATGTCTTGAGTTTGATGGTAATCCATCCATCGGTTCTAATGATAATGCAATCACAAGCTATTTTTGCATGCATAATGAGCCCCATGACCTTTGATCTTGACCTCATGACCCCAAAATCTAATCAGTTCATTGCCTCAGCAAGATACATACATGTCCTGAGTTTCATGGTAATCTGTCCATTTGTTCTAATGATAATGTGATCACAGGCTATTTTTGCATACATAATGAGCCCTGTGACCTTTGACCTATGACCCCAAAATCTAATCAATTCATTGGCTCTGCAAGTTACATACATGACCAAAGTTTGGTAGGAATCCATCTGTCGGTTCTTGAGATAACGCGATCACAAGCTATTTTTACATACACAATGAGCCCTGTAACCTTTGACCTTTGACCTCGTGACCCCAAAATCTAAACAATTGATTGGCTCTGCAAGTTACATACATGACTAAAGTATGGTAGGAATCCATCTGTCGTTTCTTGAGATAACGCGATCACAAGCTATTTTTACATACACAATGAGCCCTGTAACCTTTGACCTTTGACCTTGTGACCCCCAAATCTAATCAATTCATTGGCTCTGCAAGTTACATACATGACCAAAGTTTGGTGGGAATCCATCAGTCGGTTCTTGAGATAACGCCAACACGAGAACGGGACGTACGTACGGACAACCCGAAAACATAATTCCTCGGCTACTTCTTAACGGAGGCATAAAAATGAAACAGAGAATTAACACTTGAAATTCTCACTACTTTGGGACTTCTCAATATTTCCTTGTATATTATTAAGAGTGCCTACCATATCTTCTTTCCTCATCTTTTGACCTTCTCCGTCTGCTTCATCCGAGGATGACGGTTGGTAGCTCTCTAAATTGGCAATCCTCACTCTTAGCTGACTGTTCTCACTGCTCAGAGACTGAAGCTGCTCCTAAAAATATTTTTAAAAATCAAAATCAAAAACAATATTTAGGTTTCATCTGTCAAGGCACTAAATGGACAAGATAAGAACACCGAACACAACAGACAATTCCGGTACAAAAGATTTAAAGCTGTAGGTCCCCTGGCTGCTTACTTACACGCATATACATGCCTTCTTAGCAGTCTGGTAAAACAAACAAACCAACACGTTTGGAAACTTTGAGGCACCGAAAGGGTTCAAAACCATCATTGTCCTAAACTGTAGGTCCCCTGGTTGCTTACAAGCATATACATGCTTTCTAAATAGCAGTCTGGTAGAACATACAAACAACCAACACGTTTGGAAACTTATGAGGCACTGTAAGGGGTTCAAAACACATTGTGTGCAGGCAAGCACTGATTCCAATGACTGGGGTAATAGTATATCTGTAAAGCGCTTAGAGAGATTGTATCAAGCGCTATATAAAAGCGTAATATTAAAACCATGATGGTCCCACTTACCTGAGCTTGTTTGAGATCTGTTCTGAGGGATTCATTGACTCCGCCTTGAGCTTCAAAGTGTTGAGCTCTATCGGCCAGGGTCGCATGCTGCATCAGCTGTTTGTTCAGCTCGTACGTCTGCGTCTTGGCATTCTCCAGCTCTCGCTCGGTGCCTTCAAGCTGTGAAACGAGTTGGTAACAGTATATTATTTGTATCATTTGAGATGTGTTCACACTTTTAATGGACCCCTCTGTTTTCAACATGTATTTCTACCTTGGTTTTAAATGCTTATAATTGATTTATAATGTTTTGTTGGAAACATGAATAAATTGAAATTGAAATTGCACTTGAAAAATGTAAAAAGAAAGTTGTGGGGTCTGGTGTCCGGACACTTGATAAATCTAAAGCCTTCTCTTTTGCATTCAGATTTAACGCATAACATTCATCAAATAAGCACAGACCATCATGGATATTTGTCCTTTCTATATTGTCCCTATGTCTTAGAAGATTTATGAAAATTAAAATCTTCAAATTGCTGCTTTAAAGCCCCATGGGGGACCAAGGGTCACCGATTAGGCATTGTTTGCTATATAGAGGGCGCAAGTAGCTATAAGCATTGCAGTGGGGCTTTAACAAACAAAAAAGCCTCTCTTTTGCCTTTGGGTTAAACACAAAATATTCATCAAATAGAACTAGCCATCCTGGATACTTGTCTTTTCTATATTGCCCAACATAAATTTTAGAAGATTTATGTACACTTCTTAAAATTGCTGGTTTAAATCAACTGTCAAGATACACAACCTGTCTGACATACAACGTCTGGATTTACTGCTGAGGAAGTTTTGAGAGGGGAATAACTTTTGTTCAACATGGACTTCTGGGTCTGCGCAGTTTCTATCTTTTGCTCAGTAGATTCAAGCTTAGATTACAACAGTAATGTCAAGAGTCAAATCCTGATATAAGATTACACATGACATAATGCACATCAATCATTCTAAATTTACATTTCCAACAGGTACATGGTTTCAAGCTCCTTCATTGAAATTATTTCTCATGTTTTGAAGAGCATTCACCAATAATAAACAAAAATTCACTCTCTTTCTAATCAAATTGGAATCCTCAATAAAATCATTTTTATTGATATGTTCTGCGAATAAAACAAATTTGACAGGTGATTAACAAAAAAAAATTAAGTTTTTTAAAACATACCAGTTTAAAGATTCTGATGCCTCCAATTAATTCAATTCAATTCTCACAATACATTAGGGCCTCGTCTTGTAAAGAGTTGATATTAATCGCAACTTATTTGGGAGCGATATCAATCTCAACTATGTACATAAGAGATAGGGAACTGCAAAATTGTGAATGATTGGAGGACTTACAATTGTTTAAGGACTTACAATTGATTTGGATTAGGCTTGGATCATTCGCAATTCTTATAAGACATGGCCATGCTGATTACATTAAGGCAAAAGATAATATTTTCGCTCACCTTTGACCTCGTCTCTTCAAGTTCACTTTCTTGTTGACCCAGCCTTGAACCAAGCTCACTGCCAACGTGCTGTTCAGATTGTAGCTCGGTTGTGAGCTCCATGTTATCCTGGCTCTGTGCGGATAAAACAGGCAAATGTAGTACAATCATTAATGTGCCTTATAATAATAATAATAACAATATTATGCTTTTACATGGCACTTGATACAAATGTCTCTAAGCGCTTTGCCCGCACACACTGTGTGCACAATCTCCACTCCCTTGGGAGCATTCCAGCCAGGCGTTACTTGACGCTCATGAACTGTTTGACCAACAATGATGGTCGCATCCTACCAGGTACCCATTTAACACCTAGGTGGAGGTTAACATCTTGCCAAAGGATATTAGTGCCATGTTGGGATTCGAACCCTTGACCTAATACATATCTAGTTACCTTCACAAACATTTTTGAACAACCATTCCATTCAAATGTTGTTTGAAAGTACAGGTTTGCATAGCAAGAAGATGAATTCTTTTAGATTTGGTATAACCATGTTTGGCTGAAAAGCCAACATCACGCCTGACTTCAACTAAGTCTACATTCCTGCTTTTTTCCCTCCATACAAACAGTACGAACAGTTCTTTTAAGGACAATCTACATGGTTGTACCATAAAAATTTTCTCTAAGAAACCATTTCATTACACTCACTACTGCTTAAATTTGATATTTTTTGTTCTTCTCACCATCTTCACAAATGCAGTCTGAAGTTCTTCCAGCTGAATCTTGAGTTGTTTATTCTGAGCCATCGCTCTGCTGATGGTTGCCTTGTCGCTCTGGATCCCCTCCAAGAGGGAGCCCTTGTCGACGGACTCCTCCTTAAATCTTGACAGCACTCTTCCCAACTCCTCCACCTCGTCCTCTTTCTCCTCGTGGAGCCTGCTCAGGTTGGCATTGTCCGCCACCTACAAAACATACAAAGGATTAGATGCTGCTTGTAAGTATCGGCTTGCATGGTGATGTAGATATACAGTAGGCTTGCGGGTCCACCATGTGAGAGAGAGGGAGGATTGAGAAGTCCCGCCACTCATCCTCATCAATTATGCAAAAGATCTATTGTATCCTTCCACCAAATATTAGAATAATAAAGATTATTATTATATGTTTTGTGAACTGAAGAGTATAAGTAAGACATTATTGAATTAAAAAAAATATAAAATAAGCATCGAAATCAGCATACTGGTAACACATGGTCAAATGAAAAATCATTTTTCCAATCATTTAAGAACCTTGTGCCGAATGGAGAATGATACACTGATTGTATTGAGATCTTTGAAGGCTTCTATCGTGGGGAGCAAGGTTTATGGTTACACCGCACATTCTTTCGAAAGGGTACAAACCAATTACTAGCTCTATACAGAATGACATGTCCAGGTTAATTCACTCGGGACATTTTGAAACCATGAATATATTGATAATTCTACCCCAAAAGGAAAGTTGATTCACTTACCACAACTTGATACTGGGAATGTATTGCTTCTTTTTCTTCGGCCATCGCAGCTAGTCTTTGTTCCAGCCTGATGACTTCTTCCTGACTCACGCTGCTAACACTCACGTCATCCTTCATCTGCTCAGCTGTAAGAATAATAATAATAATAATAAATTACATTTATTAAGTGCTTAATAGAATGTTTCTATAAAGCGCTTAACATAACAAGGTACAACGTAAAATAAACAAACAGCAATAATAATACATAATTTTAATTCTTAACATTACAGATAATCAAGAACTTACTTTAAACAAAACTGCCCTATAAATTACTATTTAAACAAATAATACTTCAGACTTTCCTTAAAAGACTGTACAGATGGGGATTGATGGATAATAATTGGTAAACTGTTCCATGATTTAGGGGCTGCAAGGTAAAACCTTGTCCATAATGTCAAGCAATATTCTCTAGCTCGCAACATGTTACACCATTGTATACTGAATTTTATTACTAGTTTTATAAACATCAATTTTACAATCAAGCATATTTCTTTCTTTGTTTCTTTTATTTTTATTTTTATTTTGTTTTCTCTTCCCTTTTCTCCTTCTTTCTCTTCTTCTCCCTCTTTTTATTTCTTTTATCATATCAATTTAATTACAGAATTTCTTAATATCACATTTTCCTTTTTTTACAGTGTATTATTTGCATGTTGCAGTTTTATTTGTAAATTCAAGATGTTTCAGCTTATAGCTGTAAATTTGAATTTTTAGCAATAAACCTTATCAATTCAATTCAACATGATTGCAATCAAGTCCCACAAAAGTTTCTCATCTGATCAACTGTATGAAAATCTTACACCTCATTTGTTACCAAAATTATTTTAAAAAAATATTATGAATCTTCCTCCACTGTGGAATGTCATTTTGTGTGAAATGGAATTCATGGAATTCATAAGTATTGTCTTTAATGTACTTTTACTGTTACATACTATTGAAAAACAGAAAAATTCTAACTAAATATTTTCCATAGCCTGATTATGTCATAAATCAAAGAAGTTTGTTTGAAAAACCTAATGTACAACTTCAAGTAATAATACAGAACTTGTCATCAGTGACAAATGACAGTTTTTGTTATAAGCTCCTGAAATCCTTGCTTCTGATTGGTTATCAGCAGATTTATCACAGATTTTTGTCTATTTGTCATTGAAAAAAAGCTTTGTGAAATAGGTCCCAGGGCCCTACACTAATACTGATTTTCCAGAATAGGTTCTGTTGAACTAAAGTGTAAATTCTTATTACCTTGGTTTTCTTCAAGGACGTTAATCTGATGCTGAAGCTCTTCTTGTCTTGATAGTAGATGAATCTTCTCCTTAGTAAAAGATTCATTCTGAGAAAAAAAAAGATAGGTAATAGTACATGTATTGAGTGCTTCACAGAACGAAGTGGAAGGATTTTTAAAAAAAATTATTACTTGTAAAGATTCAATAGAATTTTTTTTTTTTAAAGAAGTAAAATTAGCTTCAAAACTTTATGTCAATACCATGATGGTCTGTAAACCAACTACAAGTCATGTCATAAGTAATCTAATATTAACAATAAAAGACAAGCAAACTCTAAATAATTAAATTATATTAGATTATGCATTCATCATACAAGTCGCTGCCCAGCAAGCAGTAGATGCAGGTTTAAATCCCGCTGGTTCCAAGATTTTTCTGACTTGTTTTCAATTACAGATCGATCAATTGATCTTTATTTACTGGGTGTAAGCCACAAATATGTTTAAACAACATAAATATTGTTTCATTACAATCACTAGACTGTAATTGACCTTTGACCTACCTGGGCAGTGATTTGCTGGATGTGGTCCTGGTATTGTAAGGAATGCTGTTGATATTGCTGGTGAAGATTTTGGCGTTCGGCTGTCAATTGCTCTACTGACTGCATATACTGGGGGAAATATACAACAAAGTAGAGTTTAAAATATTCGAAAAATATTAGAAAAATTAGAAGGCAAAAAGGAAGAAAAAGTATATACGTAGTACAGTGAATGAGAAAGGATGTCCCACTTAGTAGGTAACAATCTTTAAAATGTTCATCATTAGAAGCTTATAACAAAAATATTCCGCTTTTATATCACATCATACATCAACGTTTATAAACGCTTTACACTCCCTGGGGAGCATTCCAGCCAGGCGCCTTTTTACAGATGCCCACAATTCTGAGCAAACTACATTAACATTCCCATCCTACCTGATTAACGTCTTGCCAACAAACGGTAGTGCCGGGGCTGGGATATGCAAGTTTTAACCTCAACAAATATAACCTCACTACTATCACAGGTTCTGGCAAACAAAGTTGTGAATAGAGTTTGACAGTTGAATCTTTAAATTTGTCCAAACCAATGAAAAGGTGTAAAGAGAACTCGACTCTAAAAGATAATAAAAATAAGCAATATAACCTTGCAATCTCCTCCAGTGTAATATGAATTAAAAAAAGTTACCTGAGCTAGTTTTCTATCTGTGTCTGCTTTCTCTTCTTGCAGTCTGCTGATGGTGAGTTGCGTGTCCTGTGACTGACCGGTCTGAGCGGTCAGCTGCTGGACCTGAAGCTCCGCTAGATTCAATCTCTCTTGAAGTTGACCCAGGACTTGACCTAACTGCTCATTTTCTGTGGACTAAATAAATGATATCCACAACATAATGAACTGAACGCAACTAATATTCAACCACTTCATCCTTTCCTTCCTAATTTATTCTTTAAAATAACAAGCTACATAACAATACAGAAAGTATCTACTAAAAATCTACTGGCATTATTAATTTCATAAACACAACGTCATAGGCTATCGTCAATCCAACAGAGCAAAAACATGAAGAGAGGACCAGAAACTACGCACTATCACATTGCCTGGCGAAAATCATCCAACGAAGATGGAAAACGCTATAAAGTCCAATAACAACAACATATTACATCTTTGAAATACCAATGCTTCACATTAGACAATAAATTGACTTACATTCAGACTTTACAATAGGCAGTGCCAAAAGTATATCAAACATGATTGAGACATAGAGAGAGAGAAAGAGAGAGAAAGAGAGAAAAAGAGAGGGGAACAGACAGACAGACTAAGATGTGACTTTAAAGTTTTTCTCTGTCCTTTCTGTCAATTACTTCATTTTCAAAACACACTTACCTTTGCTCGTAGCTGACTTGATAATTCTGAATTTTGCTGACTCAACTCATCCTTTGTTTTCCTGCAACAGAAAAACAGAGACAAACATGATCACTCTACAAATGATACAAACAAGTAGGTTCCTAAATTAAAAATGATAATAGTAATATGCCATTCTTGTAGAGCGCATATCAAGGCGTATTTGTTTTATTGTCTCAATTAAACATAGCTATGATGGATTTATCACTTTTACCAATCCAAGCGTGATTAACAAACTTAAAATAGAAACTTGAATTGTAAAATGATGAGTGATTGCAGTACAGCTTCTATACATTGCTAGGGTTTAACTCTTTCAGGACAGGATCTATATTGAGGGCTAAACTGATCATTGTTCTTCAAATTGGCAACAATAATATTTTTCTTTCATTGCTAAAAGTAAAATGAACTGTAATGTCTCTAATAACAATTAACATGGGCGAAAATATTATCAAAACGTTGAAAGTCTGGATAAAAAGTTATTGAACCAAACCACAAAATGTTGAATGATTGATGTGAAAGGTTGTTTCATACAATCCATAGCCCTTTATAACAGATTCATTAAGGGACTATTCTTAATAATAACACATGATATCATGATTAGAACCTACCTCAGTTTATATACATCTAATTTCAATGAATCTCGCTCCTTGTCCAGTTCTTTGCTTGTCTGAGAGTGAAAAAAAAAGAGAGAAAATATCGATCATTCCCATGTTGATGTCTGATAATGGAACCTAAGTATGAAAGATAAACGCAACGGCACATTCCCTGTGAGTATTCCTACAATACGATCATCATGAGGGTAAATAATAATAATAATGTTTCATTTATAAAGCGCCTTTTCACAAGATACAAAGCGCATAATATGAAATGCTTACAAATAAAGAAAGCAAAACAGCATCACCATACAACGCTTACATTAATTGTGAACAAAGAGGAGAATTTAAGAGAAAATCGAAAAGATGTGTTTTCAGATACCTCTGGCAAGCTGCAAGAATATATGGCAATTCTTTAATACAGGGATAAGGGGTTTGGTGGTTTCAGGGGCAAAATTACCTCATCGACCTCTCAAGTCCCCATTTCTCTGCTTAAAAGAAATTACAAACAAATCTAAACAGAAATGGACAGAATTATCCATGAATTTCATCTTTTGTAGACACTTCTCTGTTCTTAAAAAATGTTTATAGTTCCAAGTAAGTGGCATCCATTCATCATCATAGCCACTACAAACTTTTGAAAGATAGTTTGAATTCTAATATTACGCCACAAAGTAAGTTGAATGCTATTTAATATGTTTATACCGGGCCCTATCTTATATAAAGTTACAATTGATCCAAATCAATCGCAAGTCTTCTTATCAATCTCAAGTTTGCAGTCTCCTATCTATTATGTGGAAAGTTGTGGTTGATATCAATCGTAAATTGGTTGCGGTTAATCCCAAGACGGGGCCCTGCTGATTCACATAGATGATGCATACCTTCGTTAACTGTGTAGATGAATTTTTAGCACTGGCGAGTCCTCTCTCCAGTTCAGCCACTCGCTGTCTTGAAACTTGAAGACGACTTGCTAGATTCTCTACCTCATCTATAAAAATTAAATACAAAAGAATCATTTAAGGAACTACTAAATATCAAAGCACAAGATCTGCATACATGTACATGAACATGAGCGATTAATTTTCTGTTGAGACATAATTCATCTATTTCATCTTTCACCTCCAACAGGGTAATGAAACTAAACGAGAAGTCATCCTAAAACATACCAGTCTTATGTTTGAAGCCAGCCTGGATTTGTCCGAGCGCACTCTGTAGATCAGACTTCTCGGATACTAGAATACCAATCGTTTGAATGTGAACCTGAAGCTGCTCTTTTAGGGCGCTCTGCTCTTTATGTGCTTGGTGACCAAACTCATTCCTCTCCTACAGAATCAGAACATAAAGAAACCATTATTAAAGGCATCGCTTAACAATTTTAAATCTGAGATGCGTGGCCCTACGTGTTATCAGTGTCTGTGATATGGTGTAATATTGAAGCCCTAAAAAATTCGCACTTCAACATGATCATGAAGTGCCTCAAAAAAGTAAAAATCTTTAAGTGACTGGTAATACAATACTCATTTCCCCAATAGAGGACCGAAGCTGTGACGTCATAAAAATCTATTTTTTAGAATTTCTCAATTTTTTTCTTCATATTCCAAAAGAACACCAAAAATAATGTCCATAATGAAATAATGAATATATGCCCAATGGGAACTCAGTGTCATATGCTCTGGCTCATTAGGAGCCAGAGCATATAACACTGAGTTCCTATGGGGAGTATATTTATTCAGATGGTCATATCTCAGCCAATACTTAACATATTCAATTGGTTTTCGACATTAGGACATTATTTTTGGTGTTCTTTTGGAATATGAAGAAAAAATTGAGAAATTCTAAAAATAGACTTTTGATGACGTCACACTTCACCACTCTATAGACTGTAGTGTTATGATAACCGTTAGGAAAACAAATTTTTAATTTTCGAATTCCAATCATAAATATCTTGATAATCAAACGGCTGATCGGTTTGTAAAAGCCATGGGGTTCCTGACCGAACTAAAGGTTTATAATTATCATCGCAGCATGAGCTAAATCCAGGATTTTGTTTCAGAATCTAAGACAAAGTTATCCAGTCCAGTATTGCCATCGATAAACACACTGATTATTACATTAAAGATTGCTCTTTTAGGGCGCTCTGCTCTTTATGTGCTTGGTGGCCGAACTCATTCTTCTCCTTCAGAATCAGAACATAAAGAAACCATTGTTTTTTTATTATTTATTAGACACTTTCAGAAAATATAATAATAAAGCAATATAATCATGGTGATTACAAAATTAGAATGACAAATACCTTACTTTTTTGTAGCAATATTCTGATTGCAAAAGATGACCGCCAGGGAAGAAGAGAGCAAACTTAATCACCTTAACCGTAATGGTTCCTCCGCCCATTAACCAATCATATCAAGTATTTCCATCTATAAACACAGTGGTTATTTCATTAAAGATTGCTAATATCATTTTTTATTCTTATCGTTGACTTGGTTTCATTACAAGAATTTGGTTATTGGTGAATGTCATCGCAGTGCAGAGCATGAAGTAAACACAATTAACTGTGAAATACCAAGTTGGAGATCAACTAGAGCAGCTTTGGAAAGATATCTGTCAAATCTAATCATTTTTAATTATACAGAGATAGACATATAGACATATATACAAAGAGTAATGGTCATATAGAGAGAGACCAAGAGAGAGAGGGAGAGAGAGGGAGAGAGAGAGGGGGGGGGGGGAGAGGGGGGGGGGGGGGAGAGAAAGGGCAGTGGAGCATGGTTAAAAGTGAAAGAAAAAGAAAATGTATTATTTACCTTTTCAATACTGTCCTGTAACCTTTTGCACTGCTGTTTCTGTGAATCAAGAATGAAATTAAAATGTTATCCTTCAACATATCCTGCATACTAACATTCAGAAGCCTTGTTTAAAATACAGTTAACACTATAGGTCAGCCTTAGCTATTTACTATCTTCTATCACTTGTAATAGAAAGTATCCAGTCCAAAGAAGGTGGTTAACGTTGTTAACCACATTCTTTTTAACAAACATAGAAATCGATTGTGCATTGGTTACTTCAAAAGTTTGTTAAAGATGGGTTAGGTCGATATCATGAACTAAATAGAGAAAGTGGAATAACTGTGTTTTACCCTTATTAGCCTCTTACTATAAAAGAGCACAACTCTCCTTTATTGATGTGTAAGCATGTCACTAGTCAAATAAATCATAATGTAATAATTCAGAGGGGAAAACAAATCAGATATAGCAAGGCCTAAAATAAGAGAAAGTGGAAAGAGTGTCTAGTATTTACCAACTGTTCTGCCTCCAGTAACAGTCTCTTATTAGCCTGCGTTTGATGATCTACCTCGGCTGCAAGTTCTTGATTGCGAATCTAGATTGAAAAAGAGAGATGTTCAATATAATTGGAATTATTTGATATAATGATGTATTATACAAATAATGCATGCGAAAGAGTTCATTATATGATCGATCCGCACTCGAGTTGAGGCTGTATGCATCTTTCATACTCAGCCTGACAGCTTCATGCATGAACAGACTCAACAAGAGCGGATACTGGTAGATCTTTCAATGAATGAATGAAAACACATTATTTGTTTTATACAACAAAATTCATAGAGTCTTGTTATTTGAAGTAAAAAGAATTAAGTTCAAGCATGTTTTGTGGCATTACCGCTAGCAAACTATAAACCCAAAACATAATATTCCTACTTTAGCACACACAAAATATCTCTATATGCGTTTACACACAGTGCTATCTAAATATCGGCCCACACACACTAACCTCTACTATGTGCACTGCTGCGAATCGCGTCTTTAAAATGGTTCAAATTGTAAAAGCTTATACTTAGACATTGACCCAATGATTAGGGTAATATTACGATATAACAATACTAGAAAGTTGGTACATAAATACAAGGAGTATCTAAGGTATATCTAAGGAAAGCTTGTAAGGCACAATTGGTACTTTTTCTTACCTCTAAATCAGACATTCCATTTGTTCCTGTTCCAATTTCACCATTGACAAGTGCAGTCTAAATTCAAAGGGAAACAATAAATCAATAGGCTATTCAAACTCAACTAAATATATTATGATAGGGCCTAGCTTTTCTGAGACTCCCTTTTTTCCCCTCTCAGTTAATAAATCAAGCAATATAAAATATTTTGTCTTATTCTCAAACTTAAATGTACTCTGTAAACTTATTTTATTATGAACATACTTCTAAGTATTTCATTACTTGTATACTTCATTTGTTACTTGTGGATATTTGAGTTGAAAAATAAATCAAATCAAATCAAATCAAATCAAATCAAATCAAATCAAATCAATCTCTCAAGCTTCATTCACATATATGTTTACAATGACATATCTAAGTGTATTATGCTTTTATTAACACACAAGAGCTTTGTGCAAACACATAGGTCCTTTGTTGCACACACTTGCCATTCAATTACATGGTTTCAACAACAAAAAACATGAGGAAACCATGTTTTACCGCAGCAATGTGAACAGGCATTTAGAGAGATATGGGCATTTTTCACATTACTGTTGTCAAAATAATCTGTTTCTCCAGAACAAATTTTTCTTTCTTCATTATAAACGGTATATCTGGTAGTGTACAATTATTGTAAAGTGTATAAAACACAATATTAAAATAAAATTCATTCTTTCAATTGTCTATGCCCATAACATGGTGAAATTACAACAATTAAAATTCCCTCCCCTCCCCACCCTGATGACAATGAAACCAACTGCAACATTCATCTGTATACCTTTTTCTTCTGTCCATATAGTTTTGAAGACAAAGGAAAATGTCAATTTAATAAAAAATACATTACGAATGACATTATAAACAACAATCAATCGTCAAGGCATTTCTTTTAAATCTTTGCAGATACAATATAAAAAGTTGAGAAATCTTACTTCTGCCACGAGTCCATTCAGCTGCTGTGACATCTGTCTGAGACTTTCACTTGATGACAATGGCTTACTGTATAACATAGGAGTGAGATTTAAAAATATATTAATATTACATATTATATCAGATTGAGATCAAGAACGACTAGAGATAATAAAAGAAATGTAGCTTATTTTTTTAAGGCCTGAATTAATAGAATGAAGAAAAGGAAATACTATTCAAGAATTCATGATAGAACATAGTAACTAAATCTTTTGACAATGAAACCAACCGCAACAGACCAGATTCATCTATGTACATTTTAATCCTATCCATACAGTTTTGAAGGAAAAGGAAAATGTCCCGATGACCCCAACCCTCCTCCCCCTTCTTTGCTAGAATTCTACTTTTACTTCCATTAAATTGCTGTTTCTATGTATATTTATTCTTGGTACATGGAGCTTTACGGCTACGTTAATTTTTGCAGATTGTCCAATATAACTGTACATATAGTTTAGTCATTTGTATCTCCCTTTTTCTCATTAACTTTGCTGATTCACACTTAATTTTCTTCAATAGATAGTATTTTGTGTGGTAATTTCGGATATTATAGTCGGGCAGCAAAATCTTCCACTTTGATGTAATCTATCTGTCTGACATTTCTGGGCATATAGCCCCATATATAACTTGGATAATCATCATCACCACCACTATGTACGACCTAAGGCCTCATGCTAACGTCTTTGTAAAGACTTGGGTACATGTACATGAAAATTATAAAAGAGCAACATGGAGCTTCAAGCTTACCTTGATGATGGAAGCCCATTTGAGTTTGGCCCTTTCTCATGCTAAAAAGAATAAAAACACAGGTACGACACATCAAATTTCAGATTTAAGTTGTGATAACTTGTCAAAGAATTTTCTATGAAAATGACTTCCAAGGCAAGATAAGAGAGAAATAGTGGCTGTTATTCAAGCATCATCATCTATAGTGATCTGTCAGTTTATTACAGGTTCAGTGACCCAACCAGAATTCTACATCAAGTGTCTCTCCAAGTACGTCGGTCTTGAGTCATCGTTTCAGCATTTCATATCCTGTTGCTCCATATTCTGCGATTAAATCATCTAGAAAGCCTTTACGAGGTCTTCCCCTCATCTTCTTTCCATACAAAATAAAATATTCTTCTTGCACAAAATCTTAATCACTTGATGGCCCAAAAGTATGTGAATATGATCTTACAAACATCTTGATGATGAAGAGTTTGTTTCCATTAAACATTTAGACTTCAATGTGTGACTCTAATTTGAACTTCTCATGCACTTTTATATTTAAAACAATAAGAGCAAACCTACCGGTGATTGTGAGATAAAACTTGCACTTGCTGCCACCTCATCTTGCCTGGCCCGATGGTCTGCTAACCTCTTATTGGCCGGTTCAGTCTGGACCTGACGTGGAGCAGGACTCTCTGGTCTACTGCTAGGCTTGGCCTTCCCAGTTTTCGTCTTTGCACTTTTTGCAGATGGGCCACCAGTAGGTGTGTTGGATGGGGTGCGCTTTTGTTGAAACTTTTGGAGCTTTATGAAAAACAAAACAAGACAGACATTCCATAACATCAGGTTTGAATCATAATCATAATCATAAATATGTTATATTATGTTAACAACAAAATAAGTTATCTAGATATTTATTTTAAAAAGTTACAAATTTTGGTTACAGTTTTACAATTGATATTTCAAGCAATTTGACAGTAGTTATGGTATTTATATCTGATTTTGAATTACATTCTGTTCAGTTCATTCTCTATTTCATTCTTGATATTAAAAAAACAGCATCATCAAGAGAAACAATACAAAGTAATCACATGTTGAAAAACAAATTATGAGAATGAGGGTTAAAAAACAGAGTAAATAGCCTTATGGTACATTGACCCCCAAATTAAGGATGCATACATGTACGTAACTATAACAGTCAAACAGACAAACAAATAAAGTAAGGAAACAAACATGCAACTGTCAATAACTAGTTCACTTTCTTTTCAATACTGAGTGATAAAACTACAGGTACACAGGTCACTGTGGATATTCAAATATTTGAGAAGATAAGGTGGAAAGTATTTGTCCTTGGTCTAGTGTATGCCACACAGAAGTTCATAAAATATGGAACAATTAAAAAAAAAATTGTGGTTTGTCTCAGCCTCCAAAACTGGGAGTTTTAAAAAAATTCAAATTTGGTTGTCCTAATTCTCAATTAGTCTAGTTAGGGTGTCTGAAAGACAATGAATTTGGTTAGAATAATGTTTTTGGATTCAGGGTAAGAAAAAGTGGGCGCAAATTTTGGGGTAAATTCATCTCATAACCGCGAGGTGATCTGAATTTTCAAAAAAATTATATTTGGGATATACTGAAAGAGAAAATTCTGGTCATCCTTTTGAGATTAAGGAGAATTTTGATGCTGATTTAAAGTAAAACTAAAGAGAATGAGCACACCCTTCAAACATTTAATAAATCTGGTTGGTCATTTCCCAACTCATTAACAATGGGAAACTAAAGGAAAATCGCTATCACTCAGGTATCAAATTTTCACATTTTTGTTAAAATTTTTCACTTTGTCTCAGATTCTGAAACAAAATCCTTGATTTAGCTCATGCTGCAATAATTATAAGCCTTTACATTAGGCTTTAGGTCAGTCAGGAACCCCATGACTTTTACAAGCCGATCGCTTGCAGAGCTACCAATTATCACGCATTAGGCGTGACATCACGCATTTCGAGGGTCTGAAAATGCTCTTATGCACGACGCGCGCGCTAGATTTTGAAAAAACGCTATACCTGATACGTGTGTTATACCCTCGCACGCGCGCTCGCGCGCCGAATCATGAAAATGTCACGCATTGCCGATCTTTGAACTTGGCGTCTCTGCGATTGTCTGATTATCAAAATGTTTATGACGCGATGCGGGATCCCGCTTTGTCGGAGTAAAATCCAGAACCAGAACCAGAGAACCAGAAATAAAATTTTTACGTTTTCCTAAAGGTTTTCATAACGCTACAGTCTATTGGGGAAAATGAGTACGGTACGGTAAAACCGTCATTCAAAGATTTTTTTCTTTTTTGAGGCACTTCAATCAGTTCATGATCATTTTGAAGCACAATTTTTTTTTTAGGGCTTCAATATTATTATTACACCATATCAGAGACACTGAAAACTGATGACACGTAGGGCCATGCATCTCAGCTTCAACATTATTAAACGATATCTTTAAGGTTAACATATACAGTACTGATCTGTCAAATTGTCTTTGACTCAATTCAACTCAACCATCAATGCAAGACAGTCAATGATGACATTCAACTTGCACATTATTACTTTAGTCATGCAAGACATTAGGCTACGAATAGTTGAAAGGAGCCAATATCTGTCAAGATTTGCTGTGGATTAACCTCCACCAAAACTGTGCACTGAAATTGGAAAGGATGTTTATATTTCCGGTCGTAGTGACGTCGGGACCAATCTGCTGCCCAAATTCAAACACCGACACAACACGAGCAATAACGAATGGGACCGCTCTTCAGTAACTCTACAATGAACACACGTAGCACAGCAACAAAATACGGCGTATGATTCGACACTTTGAAGCACAAAAATCAGTCTCAAATAAAGCTATGAATATGCATGAACATTGAAAAAATACATTCCAACTATAATATATTGTTCAAAGGACAGATTAATCACCTTTTTCCTCGCAGCTGCAAGCTTTTCCTCTCGAGAAATATCCGCCATATCTGCAACTTTTTTAGTGTGAAAAGAAAACTAATGCAAGTATACTACTTATGCAGATGAAAAATAGTCACATTGAAATTGAACACACCGCTCTACTGCGCGGTGTACCTATCGGTATGCAGGTCATCTTGAGCAGCAGTTGACATTTCTTCATCGGGTTAGGCGGCTTTTCGCAGACACGTATGCAAGAACCACATAGCATTTTCTTTCAGCCGGTAGCCCATCCCACGCTCATAGTAATACCTTGGAAAAAAAAGCTCTTTGATACAAATGATATGATAAAAGTTTAGTTTAAAGTTAAACTATATATCGAAGTTTGTGATCTGCATGGCGCGCGCTGCTGATGATAAAGCCCCATTGTTTGCGATAAGATAAGAAAAATCTAGAGGGAACAGAAGATTCAATGACATTTGCAAGGGGTCCCTTCATGCATGGTCAAGAATCTTGTTTTAGACCTCTATGTTGTTGTTTTTTTAATTACAAAAGAGAGAGAAGAGAAGAAAACAAAATACTCATAGAAAAACAAAAACCACACAATAACAAGGGAACACAGAATTTTTTTTCAGAGCCTTTTCCCTCAAAGCATAGTAAAATTCAAATCAGAGGCGGCCCTCCTTGAGAGCAGGGGGCACGGTGCCCCACTTTTACAAGTACCCCAAAAATGCCCCCTTTTACATAGGAAAAGTGCCCCTGTCTAGTTTGTAAAAGTGCCCCTTCCCTCTTGATGTCTGATAATTGCCCTTACTGTGACACGTGCCCCTTTTCCTTCGACAAGTTCCCATTTTCCATTCCCATAAGGGCCCTTTTTAATCTCTGGTAAATGAGGTTCAGATACGAGAAGTTATTCCTTTTCCCTATTCAGATAAGTGCCCTTTCACCTCTTATAATTGCCCTTATTCAAATCTGAGAGATGCTTGTTTTACTTTTTGACAAGTGATGTCTGATGAGCGCCCCTTTTCACCTCTAATAAATACCCCTTTTATTTTTAAACGTGCCTCTTTTTTTCTAATGAATTCTCTTCTTCCTTCTTAAAAGTGCACATTCCCCTTCTAATAATCCCTTCTCATCTCTGATAAGTGACCCGTTTATTCAACATGTGCCTCGTTTTCTTTTTATTAAGAGCCACTTCCCCCTTCTCATAAAAGTCCCCTTTCACCTCCGATAAATGCCCCTATTAAAATCTGATCGGTGCCCCTTTCTTTTCATCATATTAAATGCCCCTTTCATATCTAGACAGTGCCCCTTTTCACCTCTGATGATTTCTCTTTTAACAAGGATACGTGCCCCCTTTTCCTTTCTAATGAGGGATCTATCCCCTATTCATAAATGCCCCTTTTCACCTCTCATAAATGCCCCTTTCAAAATCTGATGATTGCCCCTTTTCCGTCGACAAATGCCATTTTCCCATTCTCATAAGTGCCCATTTTATAATCCCTGGTGAGGCCTCTTTTCAGGTTTATGGAGTGCCGCCCATTTTCACCTCTGATAATTACCCTCTTATCATTAAACGTGCCCCTAATTTAAAGGGACTAAGAGCAACTTTGCCAAAAGCTCGCTCGCTACGCTCGCTCGCACTTGATATAATTGTAATTTACCAAAGGCCTGTATCCCTATCAGGGTTGTTTTTTTCCTTAAAAATGTAATTTCCCGCACTGAGACCTCTTAAAAATGTTCTTCGCTCGCTCGCAAATAAATATTCAGACCATTTTACCTAACTGCAAAATAAGATCTTGTATGATATAAAAAGAGAAACAAATATTGAAATTATCCCTGATAATGTAATTAGGCCTACAATGTAGGGATATATACTAATGTCTAAACAAATTTTTATTTTTTCGCTTTGAGATTTTTGTTTGTAGGTGTCCTTTTTTTTCTCCAGAAAGTGCCCTTTTTTTGTTAGTGCCCCCCCCCCCGCTTTGGAAGTCGCTCGGCCGCCCCTGATTCGAATATTAAATTTAATTTAATTTAATTCAAATGTATTGGTCCGAAAGGAAATTCGTTGCGTTTACATACATTATTTACGGCCTTGCTGAAAAGCAGCTTCTAGCTGATTGCAGGCTTTTTAACCGTGATAAAGACAAAACATTATTCACAGGAAAAGAAATGTACATACAACATAAAACTTAAAATATTGCACTTTAATAGCATTCACATTATATAGATATTTTCTCTCAATTTACATTATATTCAATGTTTGTTTATAGTCCAGAGTAATTACAAACACAATATTACATTGTAATTATTATTGTAAATTATTATTATTATTATTATTATTATTATTATTATTATTATTATTATTATTATTATTATTATTATTATAATTATTATTATTATTATTATTATTATTATTATTATTATTATTATTATTATTATTATTATCATTATTATCATTAATATTAATATCATTATGATTATTGCTATTATTATTATTATTATTACCAATATTAATATGAATATTATTATAATTATTATTATTAGTTCGACTCATAATATCAGTATAATACAATTTTTGTTATCAAGCAAACAAGAAACTACAAACAGTTTAACAATCAAGAGAATTTATCAGAGTTATTTTTTATATGGCGTTTTTTATCACTTCCTACACGCAAATAGAAAAGAATATGATACATATTACAAGTCATACATTTTACATTTTATTAAACAGACGGATAGAGTACGGAACACAAAAGTTCAGGTACCTCGAAGTGTAGGTTTCTTCGACTGCCACCTTTCAGCACTTCTTATAGCCTGACATAATTTCCATTCAGGGGGTCGCGTGAATCCCTTGACACCATGACAGCCGAACACACTGATCTGTTTCTACAAACCTCATCAACATCTAGTCATGGGTGTCGATCCCGGGGGGGGGGGGATGGGGGGATATATCCCCCCCCCCCCAATAATTCAGGTGGGGGGGGGGGTGGCCTGTACAAACATCCCGGCCCCCAATAATTCACCCTAAATAAATATTTAAAAAAATAAGAGAAAAATTAATGATGAGAGCCCGATGAGAGTAGTTAAAGATAAACTTGAGTTCTGGTAATGCGATTGCATTGTGAAAGAAAAGGTGTGGAATGGATCAGAAAAGTTGATCATATTGCATATAAGTAATGGTGTGTAATGCAAGGTTCTGGAGTCATCAAAATCATCATAAATTTGGCAGAGTCTTGGTAAAGTAACAATCACTTACACAGAAAGATGTATATGGGAAAACACACATGGTGTCGGGGCTAGTACTACACTGATTTCCTTATCTTTCTATGCTCATTACTCAGCCAGTATACATTTTCTTCCAAAATTGTTTGGCACATGACATTTATTTGTAATCTTGAACATTCAGTGTAAGTTTTGTTAGATTCTGTGAGAATTCATCTTCTTTTTTTTACCAGAACTCAAGTTTATCTTTAATGATTATTACTCGCAAGAAGACTATCAATATACACATTTTGCTATCCCATTTTCATAATACATACAAATATATACGAAGTAAATGAGATAACCGTATATGAGACAAAAATAAATTGAATTCTCGCTCATACGGCTTCATCAGGAATTGATGAATTTATTCATTTTGTTCAATCAACAGCATCATAGAAATGCAATGCGCCAAATGCAAAGACGCAGCGTTAAAAAAGCAACGAGCTAAATGTTAAGCGCGAAGCGCAAAAGTAGCAATCTGCAATGCACATCAGACAATCCTGGACAGTGTAAACATAGATGAACTCTGTGACGAATTCGTGATGAGATCGGAGACAAGTAGAAAGATTTTCGGACATTAGTATGACTTATAAGATAGTTCACCAGTTGTTATATTGTTTCCGCTCACCCTTTTTAAAATTCACGTCATTGTATCTTTATTTTTTTTATTTTCACTCATTTTATTTCCTGATATTTCCTAAAACATTTTTCATTTTTGAAGTAAGATTATTATGTCACAACTTATTTTTGGTTTATAGAAAAGCTGATGTAGGCCTATGTCACTGGCGAATGGGTAGGAGGGCTTGGGGGAGGGGGCGCTAGCCCCCCCCCCATAAAATCCAACCGTGACTTATTTTCAATTTCATACAAGTGATTTATAAATGTTCGTGATATCACATGATTTCCAACAAATTCGCGTTTCTCCATTTCTGTTGCAAACTGACACATTCCCAAATAGCCAGGAAGAGTATATATTTTGTATAGTCACTAAAGGGCCTAATTAGTGGCCATTAACACTAACAGTAGTATACAATTCCTTTCCAGAAGCTATTGCGACAAGCACTGCCGGGAGATAACATGCTATACCCACCACTCGGGCTGTGCATGGAAAGGTTTGCGAACGAACGTTTCTATACGTATATCATGTGGAGAAACTGAATTCAGACAAGGATTCATGTAAAGAACAATACAATGAATCGTCTTCTTTCTCTAATAATTTAGTGAAACGGCAAAGCTTCCGCGCTTTGCGCAGGAGGGAGGGGGGGGGGGGGGGCAACTGAATTTAGACGTGTATTAAGAGTAATCAAATGAAACGTCAAAGCTTCTGCGCTTCGTGCGGGAGGGGGAAAACTGAATTTGAGACAAGGACACGATACAACGAATCGTCTTCTTTCTCTAATAGTTTAATGAAACGTCAAAGCTTCCGCGCTTCGCGCGGGAGGGGGGGGGGGGGGGGGGAACTGAATTCAGACAAGGATTAAGAGTCGAGAATGGACATCGAATCGTCTTCTTTCTTTAATAATCTAATGAAACGTCAGAGCTTCCGCGCTACGCGCGGAGGAAAAGGAACTTGATTCAAACTTTAAGGATTAAGAGTCGAGAATAGTACATGAAATCGCCTTCTTTCTTTTACAATTTAATGGAACGTCAGAGCTTCCGCGCTACGCGCGGAGGAAGGGGAACTTGATTCATACAAGGATTAAGAGTCGAGAATGGTACATGGAATCGTCTTCTTTCTTTAATAATCTACTGGCTACGCGCTTGGGAAAGGGGGGGGGGGGGTACAACCTGCCACACGCTTCTACCTCTTGGTTGCTTTGATCCATTGCCGAAAATATTTTGGCACCTAT